TTAATTTTTAGATTCCAGATTGAAAAAGTCGAAAACACTTTAGAAAGGTGCTTGTTTAAAAGATGAAGTTGTCAGTGTTCGCATTTATAAAATATAGATAAATTTGATTGGATAGACGTCAACTTTTAGCTGAATCCGGTGACTCTAATAACGATAAAATGGTCAGAAAGATACTCACGGGTTAATAAAAAATATTCTAAAATTAACCTATATTTTTTTGGAAACAGCATAGGAATTCATGCGTCAACGGGATTGTCAAGAATTTGAACATTCTACCATTTGTGGTGTTCCCGAATCCGTGGGACAAGAAATTCACCTGGTAAATTGACTCTTTCCGCATGCTAGAAAAAAAAAATAATGACGCAATCTTCTTGCGTTTTTCATTATTTTTAATTGGTGGTGTCAAACTGATGTGAATTATTTTCAGTGGCAATATAGTATAATATGCAACAAGTGCGCTAAACGGCATTTGACTCACGAGTTTATTTGACACGAGCGGAGCGAATCCCGGAAATGTCCGAAGTGGCTCAGAGCAGTGGGAAACGAAACAGAAGTGGTAAATTCAGTGTGTAATTATGCATTTTACAGACGGGAGTAGAAAAACACATTTTTTGCTAATTCACTGCCATCTGCTGCCTTACTATAGCCCTCTCTCTCTCTCTCTCTCCACTTAACTTTATTTGTAGTTATGTAAAGTTAAATGTTGATCAATTGGGTAAATGATAAATTATGTCATATTTCGCATATGCAGAAGCGTATTTTGTAAATAGATGTAGAAAGTGTAACGGAAGCGGTGGGCAGAGATCTTAAAAACCTGGGGACCATGCCTCAGATTTGTAGGTCACCTGGATCCCGACAGCGTAGCCCAGAAGGACGATCCAGCAGTTGCGAGACTTTTATTTCAGAGAGCTTGACCCAAATCTCGACGCTAATAATTCGTAGTTCGTTTCGTTGGTTCGTTGTACAGAGTACCTAACGTTCTATTTTGAGTTATTTACATGTTTTACGTGAACTTTTAGGGCAAATAAAATATGAGCGGGCGTAACTGTATGGAGAGTGGGTTTTTATTCAAAAAATCCTTAACAGGAACTGTATCAACGTGAATACGAAATGAGAATTCTCTATGCCCCGCGCTGAAAGCGATAATAAATATTTAGTACTACCGTCTATTTTAAAATCGGACGTTATTACAGGGCGTTATTTCTGCTGCCTTTTTACAGAATGTATGAAGTCGACACTCATAAATGATTACAGGTTGCTTAAAATTCGGCATTCAAAATATACAATATTTTAACAATAAATAGCACATTATGCAACAAATTTTGATAAATGGCATTTTAGTGACGAGTTTGATTGGGTTTAATAAACTAAATAATTACTGAAGAAATTTATAAACTTATTGCGTAATATACTTTTTCTACGTTTATACTTTTTCTAGTTTCGGGTACATTTTTGTGAAACAGCAACACTTTCCACATGCTCGATCACTGCAAAATAGGCTATTTTAGAGAGTAAAGTCATTTATGTATATAGTGTTTTAAATAATAATATTGATAACAGCGGCTGTATTTGTTTATTCCATAAACTATAGAGCCTAAAATGATTTCGATATGGTAAAATTTTAACGCGTCACAGTAAATTGAAAAACCAAGCAAAAATGACAATTTGACGTAGTGATTCGTAAGGATTTTAAAAGAGAATTTCAGTGCATTATGAACTGTGTTAAACAAATTTCCACTGCTTCTAAGGGTTTATTAAAAATTTTGGCAAAATATAATAAACAAACAAGAAAGTAGATTGTCTTAGATACCATTCATATTATGATCAGCTTACATTTATAAATTTTAAATGACCGAGTTCATTTTTGTTTATGTTGGTTGTCTGTTGTAAATCAACATAGTTTTTCCGACTTAAAAAAGCTACCAAAATAAGGAAACTAAACGTGGGTTCAACTGTCAAAAAATACTGTAGGAATACAACAGTAGGGTTTTCAAAGTTAGTTAATAATCACTAGAGAATTCTAAATAGGTCAAAGTGCCTAAGATGATTTTTTTTCTCTATGGTAGACTTTCCGACTAGACGTTTCAATAATGTATTACCGGCTAAGCGATGGCCGTTCAGCCGCTAATGGCACTTCCTGAAGACGATAGTGGTTTACCTATCTTGTCCCTAATGGACCGGAATATAGTAACCTTTACTGTCGACGTAACTTTACATCGACAAATACTAAATCGTAACATAAACATTATCAGGCAGATGGGAACAAATATCAGAATCAGTTTGCAAAATAGATCGTACTACTTTTGCTTTTTGAAATTTGCTATGCTTTCAAAATATTTTTCTTACGTAGGCACGATTTATATTTTCGGATTGAACATAATGTACACCTCCATTTTGCGTTATCAAAATAACCACGACATTTTTTTGGGCTGGTTTTTTTAGTCTGAGCGAGCAAACTCATTAAGACCTCGTCAGTAGCAAGTAAATGAACAATATATTTGCCTTTTCCCTAATATTATATGAATGCAAAACAATATCATAAATAAATTTTAATATATAATAATGCTATACATACACAAATAACCACCAACTTGTAACTATGCTAGCAAATAAAAAGTAATGTGATGCCCTTTATTTTATTTAAATTAATTCAAACATAAGGATATATAGAAAGTAATTTATTTTTCACGTTTTCTTGATAAGTGTTTTTCGAGGAGTCCGTCTTCTTTAATTATTCATAAACAATTCCTATTCATTTTTCATTTTTTTCTAGTAAATACGTTTTGAGCTATATCAATAGTCAATGTCATTGCAAATGCAAAATCGCATAAAATATTCATAATGAATAACATGGAGTACATTTACTTTCAGAATTATGAAGTTAGAGATAACGTATAATATGTCTCAGGAAACATATCTAAAATGATTTATACAGAATGTACCGGTTGATTTCCAAAGCATGGGTGCCTGGAAAAGGATTTTTCTACTCCCGTCTGTAAAATGCCTAATTACACATGGATCTAGCTTGCGGGAAGCGTCACTTTACCACGTCAGTTTCGTTTCCCACGAATCCGAGGCACTTCGGACATTTCCGGGATTTTACCGCACGGGTTTGGGAGCAATCGGATGCTTTTGGAGATATTTCCCACGCCTTCAATTTTGACGTTTGTCAATTCTGTCGCTCATATATTCATGTATTCGTGTTGTTTAGCGAAAATGTACCCAAAACCTAACGGTCATAGAAACAGTATAGTATGCATCACGCTTAGTAGTAAATTGGTGCAATTCTTCAAAAATTGAGTATAAACAACTTCAAGAAGATATCGTTGTAAAAGCTAGTAGAGCGTGGTTTTATTATGTTTAATTAGTCAGTGAATGCTGAAAACAGCAAAGAGCGAATGCAAATGATGAAAAGTAATAATAAAAAGGTTTTTTTTTACTAATCAAAATGGTGAAACTCAATCTCAGGCGTGCAGAAAGTATCACTGAAGACATCAGCTTTGTTAAGCACTGTCGCTAGTAACGTGTAGCGATCAAAATTTTCAAAGAAAAATTTACACCCAAATCGAATTCGGAGTTTGAAAATAAAAACTTCACTACTTTTATTATATCTGTCAAACAAGGGAAATTTCCATTTAGTAATCTTTCTATATGGAGATCTGCCAAAAAAAGAAACAATTTTAATTGGATAAAAGCTACTGATTTAATTTTGACTGTTAACGTCTATTTGCTATATATTTTATATTAAATGTGTTATGTTTTATATGTCCATGAAAACAAAAAAAAATCGAAACTTGAAGCTAACGGAGCTTTTCCTAAATCACAAACGACATTTTTTTTTGCTGTTTTGCGTCTCTACAAATCCTCTTCCAATCGAGTTAAAACATCTGCTTATTAAAAAGTTCAGAAAAAAACTCGAAATATAATTTACGCCTTCCACAAACAAAATAATTTTAATAGAAGAATTAAAATATATTTAGGTTAATGGGGTAGTATTGTTAGTACTACTATTTGGTTGGTTTGTTTGAATTAATTTGTGAAAATTGTATGTTTACCTTTCGTATATCTGGTTTTATGACTTTCTCTGTTCCAGTTTTATTTTGTAGTGCTTGAAACTACACATCTATCTACTAAATCGGATTTTTCCTTCCTACTTTCGTTTTCGCTTTGGGCTTGCTTTGCAATTTAAACGGACTAGTAGACAATGCCTGTACGTCTTTACAACATCGATTTGTTAATTATGGGCGAGTTTACATCTATTTTGGACGTCTATGGGTAGCGATAATGAAAACAACCCAATTTAACGGCGCGAAAGTTATTAATAAGCAACTTTCTTAATTAACTCGAACTCGAAATTTGTTTTCCTTTAAACATCGCTTGTTTACATTGTTACGAAAGTTTCTGCGCCCCCGTTTCCTACGGAGGAATGTTTACCGTGCATTTCGGAAAAAACATCTGAGACGCAATTAATTCTAAAAATACATAATTTATTTCTTTTTCTTTTTCAAAATTATTTTCGATATTTCTTAATCATACCCCCTGTCTGCGTAAACGTTTCGATCGTGTCGAGTTTACCGTTCGCCAAACAAAATAAATAGCCCCCGGGATATTTTTCAATCGCATTTCTCCGGTATTTATACAGCTTTTCATTCGTGAACGGAATAATAAATGACGATAAAGCTGCAATAGAGAAATAAATGTTTACTTCTCTAGTCGTGCGACTCTGAGATCCTCCACACATAAACCAAATATATTTGAAAAACGTATATAACGTAAATAATACTAAACACCGTGGAGCACTTAAGGGGATATAGTTTTGACCTCGGAAAATAGGATTTTGCGGGGCGATATTTCGAAATATATATATACGTATAAACGGCTTTAAAGCAGCCACCCGAAGGGGCAAGTAAGGATATTGTGTGGTAATGAGGGGAAGATGTTTACATTTAGTTACCGTACCGTTATATCGTTGTCTAATGATTTCGTTCTATTAATTTCAGTTAAAATGCTTCTGGTATGGACCGTGCTCATTGTGAACGTAATCAGAGGTAATGGATTCGAATCGACCAATTGCGTCTTTAACTCTATGTGCTCGTGTTCGGCCGCCCAGGATGATCCCGCAATACTCCACAGCGTTAGCTGTCTGGCGGTGCCATTCTACAAATTTCCAAGTAAGTCTATAACCATCATCACCAATATTTGTTAGTCCGCAGCAATTAACAAATTTTTAACAGAAATAAATTCAAAAGTTAACTACTTATCAATTGATTATGTAACTGGGGGAAATAATACCAATGGATGTTCAGATCTATTGAATCACCACCATTCTTAGAGGTTCTAAATTTGAACTTTAAATTATTCAAAAATATATACCAAGGTTACCAAGGTCCATTACAAAGCTGATTCAAAATATTGAATATTTTCCGAGCTAATTGATGCTCCTAATCGATCATCCTATCAGCAGAAATTATATAATTGAAATGGGGAATCTTTTTTGTTGAAAATTGCCGTTTTTAGAAAATGAAAACACATGAATCTGAACGGTACTCACATAAAAGTTATTGCATGAAGTCACCAGATTATAATTACTTAAAAAAATGTTACGTAATATTCCCGATCCTAGAAACTGTTTGAAGGATAGAGAAACAACAATTTGAAGAATGTCGTTCATTCGATGAGCGATATTTTACCAAGGCACAATCGGCTCAACGTCATGTTTTCACGAGCTTATTGAGCTCTGTATTTCACGCATAATAGCTAAACAACTTTCTCGTCGTTTGTTGGGTGTTTTCATTTATTTTGGATTTTATGAATTACTTAGGGCACACAAGAGAGTTAAAATTCCCTGAAAGGCAAACTTAAACATAAGAGAATTAAGTTAGTGTAAATTCAAGACCTTTGTATACTAACCAGCAGATTGGAGACGTGGATGTTGTCCCTGATTTTAGATTTAATTGGTATCATCATCTGCAATTTCAAAATCGTGATTATAATTTTTTTGTTTGTGGTATAGGCATTCTCGAAATATGTTTTTTGTAATTAATAATTCATTTGAATCTCCCAATACAAGTGTTTTCTACAATATTGCAGTTATAAAGATGATACCTAGAGGCAAAGACGGATCTAAATAATTACCTTTTTTGGTTTGTTCCTAACGAAAGGCCTGATATCGGTTTTTGATCGATTTTACCTACGATTTTTATTTTCTCTGCGTCACACACATGTGTGTAGTACGCATGGGGCTAACACAATGCGTCCAACTTTTTACACATATTAAACCGGTGACAAATATAAACGACCATTTTCATATGCTGAGATTTGATTTATATTCCGGGGATTGACCTTATTCGCATTGTTTTGCCGGAACTATCTAATAAATAATCGGACTATCCATTCGACTGTCCTGATCGAATACAAAATGGACGGGGATTTATTTTGCCTATTTCGTTGTTAATATAGTATTTGTATACCGCCATGTATCTTGTCACATTTTTGTAGTCTATTGCAATACAGAGTGCTTAATATACAAACTTCAAAATTGAATCGCTGAATAATTTGATAATTTGAAAATAAAAAGTTCATGGAAACATGCTTGGTTCTCGGAATATTTGATAGCATTTTTTTTCTACCTTTTACCTATTATTACTACTCTTACCCTATTTGTTATTGAATGCGACGAAAAAAGTTAATTGTACGCCTTGATCTAATTTACTGTCGTCAGAATAATTTTTAAATAAAAATTACACATCACTAAAGCAAAAATTCACAGGAAGCATGCGTCTTGCCAATGCTTACATACGCAGCACAAACATGGAACATAGCAAAGAAGAACGTGAACATTCTAAGAGTCACGCAACATGCAATGGAAAGGGCAATGCTGGAAATATATCTTAAAGATCTAAAGCTAAAACTAAAGCTCTAAGACTGAAATGGGAATACGCCGGACATGTTGCTAGGGGAAAAACTAACAAATAGCAAAAAAATCAGTCCTGATTTGGACACCATACGGATTTCGAAGACCCAGAGTAAGACCAGCAATGAGATGGACGGATGATTTAAAACTAATCGCCGTCCGAACAAAAGAAAAAGAAGAAGTATTTCTTGCTTTATGTTGTCTATTCTCAATTCTAGAATACTTTCGCTTTAAAAAACTGAAGCAATGAATTAATACACCCTGTATATGGACAGCGTACATCGAGGTTTGGATCCGGATTAAATTTTATATTGGACCGTAGGCGTCAGTTCGCATCGTTGGATACCGGATGACGCCGTTACAATTCCGAGATGTCAGATGGCGAGATTTATCTGAATTAGTAAGCTGATATATTGGACCGGTTCACGTCACTGCGTTCGACCCCACAAATTTTCGCGATGCAAGTCGTGATTGGCACTTATTCGGATGGCAAGGATCATGCTAATTCCGACATCGTAATTGGCACGACTGCGTCGACGTAATACGATTCCAGAATTCCGCAGTCATTAATTTGTTACTGCGTGGCACGTGCCAGAATCAACGGAGAGGAAGTACTCGCACTATAAATTTGTAATACAAATTAGTACATCTCCAAATTATCAAGATTACTTTACATTTTATTGCGACACGTAAAAAATCCCTCATTTTGACATTTTTTCCCATCCTAGCGTACGCATCCACTCATTGTATCCACGATTACTAATCTAAAGAATTGCAAATCAAACCTTTAAACTCATAAACCATTCAACAGAACTTCATTTGCATATTAGTCGAATAATATTAACACCAAATAGCTGATGAATTATTTCTTTTCTATGTGGCATTATAAAGGGGATTCAGGAGCAAAATTGAAGATCAGCATTATACAGAATTACCAGAAAGCAGTAGATATAAAAATAGAATTTGAAATTTAAAAATTGGAAATGATTTCGGTTGCACCTGGTGACCCTGTATTTCCTAAGACATAGCCGGATACAAAATTTGGAACAATTTCCTATGTTAGTTCTGTTAGTATAGTCAATTGGACCTTATTTCTGATCGAACAGTTTTATTTGTTATGCTATAGAATCCCCATATGTAATATGCAGAGTACTCCCTTTAATATAACGATGCCCAGGATTAAACGGCAAAAAGTTTAGAATAGATCGTTTAGGTAAAAATGAGTCATTTTCCATAAATATCGTGTATTAACATGCAATTTCAAGGTATAGAGTGTCAAAAAAATTACATAAATGATCTAACCTGAACGGGTAACCGTAGATCACCTGATATATCGACAAAAGGGTATTGATAATTTCTCTGTTGAGTCCAATTAAAGAAATTAAAAATGTAAAAAATCTCTGAGGTACAAATACAACACGAAAATTGGTTTTCCTGGAACAACTTTTAAAGCTCTCGAGGTAATTTAATAAAAATGTTATATTACATAAAGTAAAATGTGCAAGTAGCTAACACAGTAAAAACCCAAATATTTAGTGTTAGTGTGTTTTTTATAGCAGTTATAACAAATATATTATAGTCTTGTCCATAGTGTCAGTGTGTATCCAATGTCATAGGGTAGGGAGGTCTCTACAGTTCACCGTTTGACCCGTTGGATCGGCTTCAAAAGCGTAGTCTTAAAATTGGAGTAAAGGAACAACACGCAGCTAGACCACTGAGTATCAAACAAGAATTTGTAGTATTCTATAGTGTCTAAATTTAGTGAATTAAAAACGAATATATACAAAACCAAGTGAACACTCGTAATAAAAGTATTATTAAACCCCGACACCAATTGGTTATTGGACAAAGAATCTATGATGAACTGAAAAATCTCAATGTCGATAAAAAAGTCCATAAAAAAAGTTAAAGGAAACATGAGAAGTGTTACAATCGAATAAATAAAATGTAGAAATAAAATTCAAAATATCTATAACTCTTTTTCAATTTGCAATTTTATAAAAAAGATTAATATATTGTCTATAATCGGTGAGGAGCAACTCACAACCAATAATAAGTAGTTGTAAGTTATTTGATGGCCAATCTATGCACGAGCAGTGTTTGCCCCCTATAGGTCCTTTGCTGTTTACAGATTTTTTTATGTAAAAGGAATTTTTGGCAATAAATATCATTATTACCACCTCTTAAAATAGTATCTTTGAAAACATTTAGTTTATTTAGTTTATCATAACTAAATTATATACATCTAAAAGAACGATCTTTTTACATCTAAGACTAAAAATTATTTTGTACCTTTAGCCTTTAACTAAAAAAAAGTTATAGTAAGTTTTACATATAGATTATTTTAATTTTTCAAAAAAAAGTGTTTTTCGCGTTCTATCTAGACGCCAGTCGCTTCCCATATTTTCCCGGACCCCCTGTATTTTGCATTTAATAATTCAATGAGTTATTAAATACAAAACGTTGGACCTGCAGTTTCATTTGCAGGAAAAACGGACGACCATTAACACCATTCGTTCCTAAATTATGTAAAATTGAGGGACAATATATAATCCAGAACATCAGTCCGAGGTATCTTAACTATTTTAACGTATTTCGTGTTATCTTCCCACAAAATCGCGTAAGGCTCTTTGCCGAAGACCCGACTAAAAACGTACACGTGTCCCATTTCACATTCAATCTGATAAATGAAAACAAATCTTCTCATGTTAATTAGATAGCCGTGCATGCATAATACGGCGAGAGAAGAGGACGGACAACTAAATTTGCTTAAGCGTTTCCAGTAAAATGTTTTCGGAACTTTAAATAGGTAATTCAAATCCGGCAGAATATGTTTGCAGGGAAACTCTTACTACGAACAGTCGTTTAGCGGCCCGTATGTACAGACCATTTTGATATTTTAGCTGAACGAAATCTTAAACATCTCGAATAAAATTCTCAAACACCAAACTAACTTTTATTGGACTTTTTTCGTGTTTGAAAAACTTTGGAAAGTCAGGCGGATAAAATGTAAATCATTTTAAGGGAATGTTGTACGTATGCCCTTTTGATTTGCGTCATTGCTACTTTTTCATAATTTGAAGTCGTTTCTACCAATAGAAACATTTTTTTGGTAAGGTCCGTTTGTTTCTAGAGAAACACTTTATATAAGAAATTTTTGCCGAAAAGAATTAATATATTTTCCAGATAGCTCGAAAAGGCATTAAACTTTAATTCGGTGATCCCCTGAAACCACAAGAAACTGCCAAAGGGCACTAA